TACGGAAATAGAAAATTTGTCACTGGCAACACTGCTTTAAGTGGTTTTCTTATACCATAGTGGGCACATACTATCGATAATGTTGATTGTCGATAGTTTTTGAATTATAAAAGTTAGCTATCAATTATTTTTAATAGTACGTACGTACACATTCACAAAGTAAATTATACGCTTGAATAGAATATCCATGTGAAATAGCAACATAATAGTTTTGTGTTATGTAGCATTTAGCTGCTAATTCGAGCTGGATTATCTGTGAGAGCGTGGTCCTATTCCGGAACAATCAACCTATTCGTTTTACAATTATAATATAGCTGCAGCGTGGCTGCACCACGTAAAACTTAAAGAAATAGCAGACAAATTGTAAGAACATTTTTAATTCCAAATTCAAAAAGTTTTGTTCAAAACTTGTATTTAATATTTTAGGTTATTAAAATCTTAATTTTTTTTAATAAAAAGATATAAAAAATATTTAATACAAGTTTTTTTTTATATCTTTGATAAATCAGTTTTTCGATTTAACCAAATATAGCCTAGATCACTCTACGTATTATTTTATACTTTATACTTACACTCAGTTCAAAAATTCCAAAGTTGAGCCCAGACACACAGACAGACAAAATTTTTAAAAATGGTTATTTATGACACAAAAAAGACATATATATACAATAAGAGATAGTTCTTATAATAAGATAGTATTATATCGAAATATTATATACAGACACTTGAAATTTATACAAAACTTGCGTTCTGCCCCGGTTTCGTACGGGTTATTTTTAGATTTCGACAACAGCACCACCTCTTTACCAGTACTAAATTTAAGCGTGGTTTAAAACCATCTAGGGTTGAGTCCCTGAGTGTTTGAACTGATTCAAACACACAAAAAATTATTTTTATCGACTGTCGATAGCACTATCGATAGTTTGTATTTGAACATTAAAGTTGAACTCTAGTTTTCTATGGTGGTTCTCTGGTTCTGAATTTCAATAAAATTTTGATTACATTTATTTTATCATTTACATTTTCAAACTTCAGAGAACTATAACGACGAAGGTAGTGAATTAATGGATTCAACCTTCTATCTTCTAAACTCTTTAGAATTAAACACATTACAATTATTGATGGAAAATCAATCACTGTGATCAATCAAGTCTGCGTTGAAAATAAAAGATTCGCTGATTTGCTGTACACCGGTTCCCGTATCCAAAAATTAAATTTTCAATTAAAACGCAAATTTATTTTCAACAATTAAGTAAAGTGGAAAATAAATCCTTAGATTATTAAAAGATTTCTATAAAAATTCCGAAAGGATATGCCTCCAGTTAAAGATGAAACGTTAAGAGAAATTAATTGTTTTGACATAAACATAGTAGAGAAGAGTCCAGCAAAAAACAGTGCGCTTGTGGATGTAAGAGCTTGTAATAAACCTGCTGCCAAGGTAAGATTTTTAAACAATAATGCCTGCTTTCATTAGCAAGGGTGAACACTCAATATAAGTGAATTCCACAAGTTTTAATGTGCGATCCGCTTGCTTGTGAGGTTTCTTTTTCTGCTTTGTGTATTTTAATGAGAGTAGTGCGTAAAATACGTCCCAAAATTTATACATTAGGTTTTCTATACTACTTTATTACCTTACACCAAATTTACGTAACTAACTGAAGAAATGCTAGACATTTAAAAGTAAATGTACTGAATGATTTATACAAGTGCTGTTGTATTCAATGTTATCTGTTATCATGGATGAGTAAAAAAAGTAAGGACTCCGCGTCACCTACATAAATAACGAAGCACCCCAAAATAAGCCAGCTATCACACAAAGATAAGCCGAGATCGGCAACCATTACATTCGCATATCAAAAATTGAAATAATGTCGTTGTGTGTCGTTAAATGGTGCTAAAATAATACCACATTACAAAAAAGTGACAAGGGATTACCTTTCACAGGTAAGCCAGTTCTTATTAGACTATGACATTACGCACACATATACAGCATAAATGTTGCTTCACTTGCTAGTATTGTGCTGCGGAGTCCTAACTTTTTTACTCGTCCGTGTCTGTTATGTATTGTGGAGGTATATAGTACATTCAGCCAGTAAAAGTAGTAGTGGTCTTGTGCCTTTTGCATGGAGGATTTACCTTCGTTGTTACTCTTGGTAGGATTATTGATTGTAGTACCAGGCATTCACCTCAGTTACACTGCTTCCCCATCACCAGTCTGAGTATTTAACACCTAGAGTAAGAGATCTTTCTACTTACTGTCATTGAAAGATCATGTGGATTTACTTGCGTTACTTACAGTTGCCTCTTACATTAACCATGTTATGATATAAAGTTACAGTTACGGACTACATATGTCCCACTTGCTAGGCACAGGCTGCCTCTCACTCCTGAGAGGGTTTTAGGGCAAGGAAATATCTGCTGCGCTGCCCCAATGCATGTTAACAAGCTTTACACTTCTGTGAAATATATTTTTTCTTATTTCTCTGACATGTAGATTTCCTCGTTTTTTATTTCACAGCCATGTACATGGGAAATCCACACTTAAAATTGAAATTAACAATTTAATTGGTGCAGGCAAGGATTGAGCGCTTAGCTCTTGATCTCTAATGCTATGATATAGAGATTTACATTCTCTAACTCTACCACCACTCAACATCATATATTTTTATTTTTTGAACATAAATATTTTCAGAACAGCTTTAGAAATGGTAACCCCGAATATTGCATTTATATTACATAGGGATAATAAAGATGTATTAAGTATCAAAATATCAAAATTAAGTATCAAATCACAAAAATGTAAATAAACTGTGCCACAAAATCATACTAAATATAATGATAAATGTCAAATAACAAAAAGTTTCATTTCACAAATACAAGATAAGACAAATTTGCATACTGTTTAAAAAAAAATTCTATATCAAATAATACATGCAAAGTAGTGAAATGGAACACATTTGCCTTATTCGACATTAGGAAAGCATTTTGTTGATGTCTTATAAACATTAAAATATAATCATCAATCAGCAAATCAATCACTTAAGAAGTTTACTATTGAGAAATAGAAAAAGAAAATAATAAACAGACTATATTTTTTAAACTAGTTTCCTTTTAATGTGAAAGTCTCTTTACGCAACAGATATCTTTTTTTACAAAATTTAATTGACAAACAAGCTTACAGTCCACCTGATTGTAAGTGGCTACTACAGTTCATGGACACCTGTAATTGTATTATTTCCCCATCATATTTCTGTAAGTTCAAAAACTATCACCAAACTGAATTGGTCAAACCCGTTTTAACACAGTCTTGTTTGCTAATAATTTATGTGAAGCTGGAGGTACGGAGGAAGAGCAGCTTGCCTCTGTAACTGGATTTTTAGTCGGAACCAACCTCAATTGCTATGTCTCAAATGGTGCCTAGACTATTATGCGAGGGATAGAGGCTGCAGTTTTTAGGGAGCCCCAGCAGTTTCATCCCTGGTTCCCAAACTTCTGCATTTATTGGAGCGGAGCTCCCATAGCGCAAAAAAACGATTCTTTGAAATCTATCTCTTCCGTAATCTGTAGGCCAATTTACATAATTTTTTCCGCTATATTTTTAGCTAGACACTGACAAGGCTTGTAAATAGTAAAAATCTGAATTTGTGTAAAACATATTAAAAATAACCAAAAACTAAATTGTATATGGGAAAATATATGTAAAGCAAAAGCGCATGCTTTAGACTTTTACTCCGTTCCATTTATAATGCTAGCAAAAGGTTTTACCTTTGTGTCTGCATCGGCACTAGTAAATTAAGTTGACCTCTGTTTCATTTTGATCTCTGTTTCTATTTTCATTTCTCAAATCAATTAAAATGTCTGGATGGAGTGAATGATGCTATATTAAAATTTCTATATTGGCTTATTTGATTTTAATAGTATTTAGTACTATTATATTATTTATTATATAATAGTATATATTTTATTATACAAAATATACTTCGGCTTCTCAATAAATTTACCAAAATATAATGCATTGTACACAAAATTGTAAGTTGTTTAATCTTTATAAACAGGGTTTTTATGCATTAACCAGTGAAATTTGCACAGAAGGTTCAGAATAAGTAGTATAGACAAATGATGAAGAAAATGTAATTAAAAATAATCTCAACCATTGTGTTCTTTTTATCTTTTAACCCACTTACTCCTGAGCAAACCTTTTTCATAGCATTGAAATAAAATTTCATATGATATGCAATTAGGTTACAAGTAATCTCAAAAAAATGTTTAAAAAAATCTTACTATCCCGGAAAAGCCAGAAATTGGTGTGTCGTAAATGACACAGTAGGAGAATCTACTACTAATCATTAGAAAAGGGAGTTATTTTGCAAAGGCAAAAATTTATAATAATGATATCTCACTGTTTCATTTATATAATATAACTTTATTATATTTATTTTTATAAAACAATTAAACTTAAAATTGAACACAATAACTAGGGTGTATGATAAGCTTCAAAGCATGTTTTTGGGGGTAGTGTAGCATTGCATTTGACACAATAAAAGTTTGCACTTTTGTGACAGAAGACGCATCTCAAACGGTCTCCTCTATACCTTACTAAATGGCCATTGTGGTTGTACTCCAACACCCCAGATAAAGATTGTGATGGCCCCACCTTTGTGACCGTCAATCTTTTTATTGTTTTCAATGAGACTTACAGCAATATTTCTGCGAAATTTTAGATAATACCAAACTCCTCCATTTTCCTTGTATAATTGCCAAGCATTATGTGTAGCCATATCAAGGCAATGACTGATAAGTGGGAAATACCATTTCTTACCATGAATACTTGTCCTGTAAAGGGTAATATTTTGATCAGAACGATCAACACCTCCCATATTTTCGTTATATGCCTTCACAACTGCAGGTTGATCCAATTGCACATATTTTTTTTTGTTGCTGAGAAAATCTTTTGACTTTGTTGACGGGTAATACTTTTATAGCATTGGAAGCCACGTTAACTACACTATTATCATTCCACTTACAGACGACAATTTCTTCAGCTCTTGTAGATTTGTATTTGTACGTCCCACGGTTATTTTTTTTTTTGATTTTAATGTTAGTGGGCAATGGGCATTTTGGTACACTCTATTCTCTCTTACGGTGCGTGTAGCTTTCAGACCGCGCGTCCGAAGTTCATCTATAAGTGGGATAGATGTAAAAAAGTTGTCGAAGAACAGATGGAATGGAACTTCTGCATTTATCTTACGAAGCTCATCAGCATACTGCAATACAACACTGACACCCAATTCGAGACTTTTGTATTTTGTATCGGTGCATCCTTGTTCTTGATACGGTTGAAACCATAAAAAGTAGCCCAAACACGTCGCTCCAACCCAGAACATATAGCCCCATCTAATGGATTTGCATATTATAAACTGTTTACATGGATGCCCACCGTAATATGGGACCATAGCTTCGTCGATACTGTGACACTCATGTAAAGGAGCATGCTTAAAAAAATTCGAGTTTAGCACATCAAAGAGAGGTTTTAACTTCGCAAATTTGTCTCTCTCATTGAGTTGCGAGTTGTTGCAAAAATGTAAATGGGATACTATAAAATTAAACCTATCGCTTGCCATAGCTGATGAGACAAATGGTACACTGCAGTCTGAAGCATTTTCCCAGTACATACTTTGTCTAGGAACAACCACGTATCCACTATACAACAGTATTCCCAAAAAACATTTCATCTTCCTTGCTGTCACATTACCTTCTTTATTATTCTTTGTAGCATATAAGTTAGTAAATTCCACAAGAATATTCAAAACCACATCGTCAAACATGCAATCAAAGTAATCAATGGGATTTTTATCACTATACTGGTCAGGACGCTGTGGGTTATGCCAATCAGTGTGCATAGGCTGAATATCTCTTGAACTCCAAGTATATTTAGTATTTTTGAAGTTGATCATAGTTGGAGCATTTGTTGAAGTAGAAGGTACTGGTACAACAGGTGAAACCGGATCATCTATTTGTCCTTGAAGAAGCGAGGCTTGGGATGTGGTAGCACATTCATTTTCAAAATTTAGACGTCGCCTATTGTTTACTTCGGCTAATGATAGATCATCATCACTCTACCAATCATCACAGCTGTTGCCATACTGGACCTCAGCAGTAGCCCTTAGTTGAGATCCCAGCAAGTTTTGAAGTGACACCAATTCTTCATCTCCAGAGTCTTCATCCATTACCTCAGCATTACAATTTTCCGGTGGCATTATTGTAATAGATTCTGGGATGTCATCATCACCATTTTGCGCCAATTCCTCAATAATCTCATTTAGAGAAAATTGCTTTCCAAACTTCCTGTAATCAAGACAAGTGACCTCAATAATAGTAGTTTATTTTCCTACTGTGTCTTTTACGGAACATGAAAATGATTTGAAAAAATTACAAATAAAATAACCTAAAATTATTTCAATTGTTTTACATTGAGTGACCTACGGGATCAAATATGATATATATGTAAATACATTTGTGATATGCTGTATAAAAAAATATATACACTTACCTTGAAGTAGCCATTGCAATATCCTAAATATTTAAAGTTATTTTCCACAATAATTAAGAAGTGTAGCTCACAATCACTAATGCACATTTAAAGAGCAGTTTCTCAAGCACCAATCGACGTAGAAGAAGAAAAAAACTACCCACACATATTTTTTATTTTTCTTTGTGGGTGTGTTGTTTAAGACACAGTAGGAGAAAGTGGGTTAAATTCAAAATTTATTGTAATGCATTATTTTAACTGATTTTACTGCGGATGCTCACATTCGTTAGGGTGTATCAGTAGACAAAAACATTGTTTCCCATAAGTCACATTCAATTTTGGATAATTTCAAATATAAGTAGAAGCCTAATTTGTGTGTATGTTTGTTTGAATGTGTGGATCCAGCAGATAGTGTTGTTGTTGAGATCTGGAAGTTACCCATACAAAGATGGGGCAAATTGCCAGTATACTATATAATAGTCATAATTAACAGTAAATGTTAGGAATAGACATAAGGTCAAATTTATTTTATTTTATTTCAGTAGCATTCAGCAGCTGGCCGATTTTATGGAGAAAGAAGGACTCTTTATGATGAACTCTTTCTTCCAAAAGCGGCCCCACAAACGTGGACCTGGTTGAGCCCAGATGGTTGACTTGGTTGACTTCATTATGACAACTGGATGGCAACTGTCCTGTGATGTCTCAGTGATCTCAAGGGTGAAAACTGGCAGCAATCACCAAAGGGTTAGAGGCACACTGAACCTAAACGTTAAGTTGGAGAGGTCTCGTTTGATGAAGTCAACGCTCCATCCCCGTGCTCTAATCCAAAGTCCCAAAACCTTTCAGCTTGAGTTATAAAACAGTTTTCAGTGCCTAGAAGATTGCAATGCAGTAGACAATATGATGACAAGCTCGTGGAAACTGTCCATGCGTTTGGAGCTAAGTTCTGCAAGACCCGTTGCAGAAGAACACAAAAGCTCTGGTCACACTCTTAATCTCATGGCTGTTAGATGGGAAATGAAGCTGCAATCTTCAGATTTGACAGCATAGAGATAACTGAACAGACATCTCCAAATACATGCGGCGGGACTTACGCAACTTTAATACTGCTCCTATTGAGGAATGATCGAGCGGAACCAGGGCTCCAAAGTCTTTACCAGAGATCTGTCTGCCAGAAAGAGCCAATTGTCAAAGCTAAAGACTGAGTGTGGCAGCATCGTTTCTGGGACACCTGAGATTTTGAATGAGGCTGAGAGGTTCTTTGGGCAGCTGTACACTTCATCGTTGGAGCCACACAGAAGTGTGAGTAACCATCCAAGAGCAAGTCTTATCCGACACTATTCTGGTGATATCCCGGACGTCAGTCTGAGCGAGATTAGAATGGCTCTCCAGCACCTTGAAAACGGCAAGGTCCCAGGCAAGGATGGAATTACAGCGGAGCTTCTGAAAGCGGGTGGAACACCGTTATTTAAAGTCCTTCAGAAGCTCTTCAATGCCGTCCTCCATGGTGGCACTACTCCGGAGGCGGATATAAGGATATACGGCCGAATGAAATTACGACACATCTCGTCAGGTATACCTCGATACCTGAAAACGAGATTGTACAACAAGTGCGGCTCCGTGGCGCAGTGTCTTAGCAATGAGTTACAGCGCTTAAGGGCCGCGAGTTCGAATCCCGCACGGAACAAGTATTTGTATAGCCTACAAGTAATTGTTCCGGGTCTGGATTTTTGTCCTTGTCAAATTAATATTTGTAAACTAATACGATGTCCACGATACAGGACAAAATCCTGGTGTGGAGGTAACGTTTTTTTTAAGGAAATGAAAAAAAATGAAATGAAAGTGCGCGTTGCCAGTGATGACTTGTGAATTTGGGACGTGGTCTTTCACTGCTGGCCGTATGAGGACGCTCAAGGTCGCTCAGCGAGCTATGGAGAGGGCTATGTTCGGGGTTTCTCTGCGTGATAAACTTACCGCAGTAGAACCAGAGTGGCTGACGTAGCCCAACGGATTAGTGGGCTGAAGTGGCAATGGGCCGGCCACATAGATCGAGGAACCAACAACCGATAGGGAAAAAAGGTTCTCGGTTGGCAACCTCGTTCCGGTAGGCTAAGTGTAGGGCGACCTCCCACTATATGGAGCGACGACCTGGTAAGACTTGCAGGAAGTCGATGGATGCTCAGGACCGTGCTTTGTGGCATTCCTTGGGGGAGGCCTATGTTTAGCAATGGATTTATGATGGGCTGTAATGATGATGATGATTATGATGATGTTTATTAGCCATTGTGTGTTTAAAACGCAGTTTAGGTAATAACTAGTTTTAAGACCCTATAGAAATCTAGTAGATGGTAAGAACACGTTTCTTTCTTCTTTTACTGTTTTTCTTGTTGTGTGAGTGTCAGTCAGTGTGTATTTTAAGCGTTAAAATGTAATGATTAATACTAAAAAATCACACACTTCGTACGAAATTGTCGCACAAGGGTGCGAAATCTATTATGCCACATATAAATCTTGTCTGATCTCATTGTTATTTTGCTCGTTTAGCTACACATATATAAATATTATAAATGTTTTAAATATATAAAAAAAAAATATATATATATGCATGCAAACACATACAACGTAATGTATATATTTAACAATTTGATAAATTATATACGCTTTTATATAATTTTTCAAATTGTGCCGAAATATAATAAAATTATAGCTAATCCTTTCTTCTATAGCGGTAGTTGGTGAACCGCGTTTCTTTTAATTTATATACAGGGAGACCAATACCTAGCAGTGCACCATTACGAGCTGACTAAAAAGAAAAGAATACCATACCAAAAACCAGAACATAATGAATGTAATGGTATCGATATCTGCTATTCAAGGGGAAAAAGAATACATATTTATGAGGCTGTAAATTAATTTAAGTTATGAAATATGAGTATCCTAAAAATTACAATAAGTTTGACCCTCTTAGAAATGTGAGAAGACCTGTACCTAGCAGTGGGACGTATATTATAATATATTATTTATAATAATTTGATTTGGAAAAAAAAAATACAATTTTTGTATTTGCGCCGTTTATTTATATAACAATAACTGTATTAAATTTAACTACTTTAAAGAAACAACACTTTTTACTAAAATATAAAATATCCGTGATCTCGATTTACCGTAATTTTTATTTTAAGGAAACTTTCACAATAGAGTGCGTTTCTCTACCTGTATACAAAAATCATACAAATGTTTTTAAAGTAAAGCCACTGAATAGTAAAAGATTTTATGCAGAAAAAGTATACCTCACATTTGTAATTATCAGTATGGGCCTGATTAGAATAAACGTCCAGCGTAGAAAGTAATGAGTTTATTTTAGTTCATTGTTAATTGATTATGTGTCTATCGCAAAGCACAATGAATTTAAATTTCTCTCAGCATCACAGACTGCAGCAACGTTCGTAATGTCTCTTTTCACTTTTTTTTCGTCTGCCGCTCGAAACGCGCGCCTTCGCCTCTGTCATAATCGCACTCGTATCGTAATTACTCCCTGAAACCGGCTAACAAGAGCCGTCTGTTATGTGGCGATCATTATATCATTTCCACAACTTTGTTTCATTTCTTTATTTCTTTTTTTCGCTACATTGAAAGTTTTGGTGTTGTGTTTATTTTTGCAGTTCGCGATGTTGTCGGCTGCTGATTTTAGTGTTACTTGTGTACATGATTTTATTTTTTAAAATGCACAGACTATATGCGCATAGTTGTGGAGTACGACTGTAATGTAGTGCATGCTTAATTTCGCACAATCGTAGTGACGGCGTCATGACTAATTCACAGGTATTTCTTTTTTCCTTTATTTTTGACTTAATATTACTTTTTAGCTTTTTCTTTTATTTCAGTTGTACTGGCAGGTAAGTCAGCACTGATCGCTAATTAACTTAACCTTACCCATTCAGCATCTTATGACAAATTACAATGAAAATTAATAAAAAAATATGTAAAATAAAAAAAATAACTTCAAGAACTTGCAGCTCGCAATAGCAAAAGTTTTAATTTGCACTTTGTACCTACTTAATGAAAAACATCCTAATGTAAAACGAAATTGTCTTAAATATAGGAATCGAACTAAAGACAGCATTCGACCTCGAAAAAGAGCTCGACCTCTTAACTTCATCATATTGATTTCGGTGATTCGGTGTATAAATAAATAAATATGATAAAATACTTACATATTTTATCGATTTAACGTCCACTGTACTATTTTCCATTGAATATAAAAAGTATAAAACAAAATTCAGAATTAAGTTCTCAAAAATATTTACAAAAAACAAAAAGTTTTAGAAAATAAATATTTACTTCTTGTAAAAAATAATTCATTTTAGTTAGTTATTAAGTATGTAGTTAAAGTTATTTAAGTTAAAGTTAAAAAGTTAAGTTATTTAAACTGACAAAATATTTAAAAAAAACAAAAAGTTTTAGAAAATAAATATTTACTTCTTGTAAAAAATAATTCGTTTTAGTTAGTTATTAAGTATGTAGTTAAAGTTATTTAAATTAAAGTTAAAAAGTTAAATTATTTAAACTGACGAAACAAAAGTCAATGTATTATTATGCAAGTTACCGCTTCAAGAGAATTAAAGCTTGATATGGACAAAACTTTGCGTGTAGCAACAAGGTTAATTGAATGTAATTGTAATAGACGATTGCTGTTTGGGCACATGGGAAGTTTAATGAAAAGCAATATGACCGCATTGCTTCGGTTATTATTTCTCAGCAGTACGTGCGCTATACACACGTCGGGCACATATAATTCGGAATTATCTGATGAATAGCAAAGTTAACTTTAAGCAACAAAACCACAGATTAGATAAGAAACATGTAGGGTATACTCGATTCCATTCTGGAAACAAGAAACTTAGCGAACAAACCATCCCGATTACGATATAAGAATTTCATTTTATAATTACACATTTTGACGTGTGTTTACGTTTGAAAACTATTTTATTTTCAAGTTTTACATCGAATTAAAAATAAGATTTGTTAGAAATTTAAACAAAGAAAGTTAAAACCTTTCTAAATATTAGATTTAAAAAGATACAAAAAGAAATAGGAAAGTAAGTCGATTTACCATAAATTGAACAAGAGCAAGAGATAAGTTAGGTATAACTTTTTATATTAGTTTCAACCACAGATTAATGTAAGTGTAACGCTTAGAAGCCTGAACGAATGCCTACCCCCCACATAGATTTAAATGTGGGCGGGATATATGCAGTTTAGTACCGCAGTTTTTTTTTTAGGTGGTATCAGGAAGAAACTGCTGTTTCTCAGATTTCAAAGAATAAGAGATTAGTTTTAGTAACTTTACGGCCTATAAAAATAAATGACAATAACTTTCAGTTTCACCTAACACAATTTAATTGTTTACAATGCCAATCGAGTAAACAATATGAATATAAAACGACAGTGATCAGATTCATCATGATTCAGATTGGTGAAGCGAGTATTTAGATATCAGGGCAGAAAATTTACTCCATGTAATGTGTAATTTCACCACCCGGCCCGAATTAATATAGCACGCCTAAAGCGGCAAAGCGACCACAAAAATGTGTTTTTGTCCAGGTGAAAAAGGTCTTAGTAATATTTTCGAGATTTGGCGGAATAGGATTACAGGTTACAGAAGCACTATTCAGGATGACGTAAGAGAAAAAAAATTGGCAAAAAGTAAATATTTGTAGCAACGGGAATGAAAAAACTGTCTCATGGTGTACATTTTGTCGAAAAAAAAAATAAAATTACTATAATTTCTGAAATACATGACTTAGATTTTTTTTATATTTTTCTGGTAACCAGTATGGCCTCGCCTATCATAAAGTTTCGGCTTGACGTCGACTTCTGGGACACCCGATATGTAGGAATATAATATAGTGCCAAGAGCCCGTTAACAGTCCTCAAATTTGATTTTCTCGTGTATCTACTCGTAGCCCTCTATATAATGAAGATTTCATTCAATATCATAAAGATCACAATGAACACCCGAAAATCGATCACTACTTATGTGTTGCGTAGTTTTGATCCATTTTCATACTGGTCTCTGTAAACTCAGGACAATAAAACAGTGTTGTGCTTAAACATATACTTTACTCATAAAAGTAGTGAAAAGTAAATCCTTACTCATATATAAGTCATAACCAGCTGTAAATTTTAGGTGTGGTTCCGTGGGGTGAGGAGTTCGAAGTTCCGACATGTGTACGGAGTTTCTTTTAAGCGGGAGAGATGTTACGACAACATAAAAATTACCAGGAACGCGCACGACTCCAACTTCTGCGCTGTGAATCCCAAGTTTGTGGCTATAGTCACAGAGGTCGCTGGCGGCGGGGCATTCCTCGTTCTTCCTTTGGATCACGTGAGTAACAGTTTTCATGTAATATTTTATCGCTTTAATATACGGAATGCATGACAATGAAATAGTTTAACGTTTTATTACGATCAAGGCCTCGCCGGTCTGGATATTATGAGTCGTGTGGTAGCAGCATAAGAAAATCCACCTATATCTCATTTACTGGATGACATGAGCTGACTTAGGGTAATGCACTCGTCTGTATATTTATAAATGTTTTCTTAATTATATACCTCTAATTGTAATAGCAATAAGTTTGATATTTGAATGTTCTTATTTCAATATATAGTCACGTTTTAATAATTCAATGCGTCAGCTCTCAAGCAACCCCAGCTTCAGACAGTTGAAGTGTTAGGGCCCTTTGTCTGGTGCCGCTCGCGCTCGATAAACGCGTTGATGCATGAGTGAGGGCAGCCATTGCAATTTTATTCAATTTTCGTTCTTTTGGACAATTTCAGTTATCTGCGAGGGTACTATAAAGTATGGCTTCCACAAAATATATTATACAATTTAAAATTTTAAAGTAATTCCCCTTTTTCAAAGAAAATTGTTGGAAGAACTTTTGATTTTCCGTTTGTATTACGCCTTCTAGTGATAAGTCAAACATTTTTGATTTAATATTAAATGGCGTGTTTCATACATAGTAAATAAAGGTTTGTTATCACGTTATCACTGAGGAATTGTTCGAACTAATTCCAGTCGCCAAATTTCACGAACGCACATCGCGACAAAACTCGATACCACCCACACCATCTGGATGCTTGGCGGTCCACCACTATACGTTATACAAGGAGTTTTCTTAAAAAAATATTTAATCCATCTTCTTCTTCTAATTTTTTACGTATTTAAAGTCGTTGCTTGAGTATTACCCGCCTGGAGGTAAGTGGTGATTTTTAAATGTATACTGACATCGAGGCATTCGATACAATAGGATTTGATTTAAAAAAAAAAATTACAGACAGCGGTGCTACTAGGCAATATTACTTAATGAATTGAATAACAAATAACCTCGATGAATTGACAGATTTGTAATTTTGCAAGATTGCAAGAAGACTGCACAGATGTGCACAAGTTTATAAATTGTTTGCGATGTTTCGTTAGGATTTTTGGGTTACTTAGTTTATCCACCCTAACCCCAAGAAATCCACCCTTGTGTGGATACTCGGAATCGCGTGTTCGTGTTATCCACCACAGACGGGGTGTATCGGAATTCATATATTATTTTTCTTCCGATTTTCTCCCTCGGCTGTATACACTCGTTTATAAAACATCAAAGAAACTAGCCCAAGATTACTTAGTAGATAAAAAAAGACACTTATTACGTATTATTTAATTAAATAAAATCACAAATTCCTGTATGGAATCCCGTAAAATTCACGCTCGACTTCGAAAAATGAACAATAGGAGCACTGCAAAGTGTATTTATAAATGCATCGCTTCATGGATGATACTTACGAGTATGTGAAGTGCATTCAAAAACGGGCAGATAAGCTTGGTAGCGACAAATACCCGGATACGAGAAATGTAGTACTGCTTACACAAAAATTGCCACTTTTACCTATCAACCTGATTATTGAAGGATCTTTTTTGAATGATGATGATAATATGACGGTTCTTGAATTAATATGAAAAGATATGGCTCAAGGACGAAAATTATGTGGCTGTTCATTTGGAGTGTCTCACAGAACTACAATTTCAATGAAATCGTGGCATAAAGCAATATCAAATGAAATTAAAGATAATCATTCTTTTAACAAAGAAATTTTGAAAATGATTGCAAGTGTACATTAAAAGAGACGAATTTATACAGGATATACAATTACGTCTACAATAATGAAATTGGTATAAATTCTGCAATATGTCGAGGAAGTGCCTGGACATATTGCAGAGTTTATAAATTACTTATTATTATTTAAAACAATGAAGCTTTATTTGGCTTAAATGCAATACATAATATGAGTTTTGTTTAAGTTTGTGGTTATTAAAAATTGTAATATGTATTAAAGTATAAATATATTTTCTGTTGAACTGTACTTCGGGCGGGTAATTGGAACAACAATCAAAAAGTGTATTCCAATTATCCATCCCGTCTAGGGTGGATAAATGAAGACGCGTTTCCGAGTATCCACCATAGGGTGGATTTCTTCTTCTTAGTGGATAAACGGTATAACTCGGATTTTTTCAAAATAATTAAGATTTTTTTCATATTTGATTACTTCTAACTGAAATAAAAATAAAGCCATATACTTTTTTAAGCCATATTGAACTAATATTTGAGGTGTTATATTTAATTTGGGAATGTGATAGTCGCGGTATAGTGATACAGGGGCTATCACGGTATTCCAATTAAAAAAAATAGTAGCAGTGTTTAGTGTAGTGCGTAACACTACCGATATCTCCTTTACCACTCCAGTTAAGCTTGATCTGCTTGTGTTGAACCATTCCTTGGTACTCGGTAGTCGAATAGCGGAATCGATATTTGAACGAACTAATGATTAGTCGAACCCACGACCTTTTAGCTTTGTAGTCCGTTTCCTTAGTCATAGGCAAGTGTAGCCTACACTACTGCTAACATTAGGTTTTTTGTTAATACGACGTTTGATAATTCGTTTGATATTATTTTCTTTAATCATCATGTACTAATTGCTTAAAATAATTTTTGTCTACTTCATTTATTTTAGTATTTAGTTTTATCTTGATTTAGCGTTACTTTTAAGCAACAGCATTTCTTCCAAATCCAATTTTTGGTTTACTTCCTTCCATCACAAGAAATATTCCTTATTTATAATGATATAAAGAAATATATTATACTTACACAATGGAAGTCTACGAGTTAAATTCTCAACGGCAATTTAGACATACACCTTTCCTTTAGTATGACAAAGGATGTTTAATTTATTTTTATTACGTATTACACTGATTTTATACGTAGGCGGTTTAGCGGTTTATAGCCATGGTTCAATTGTCAGTGTTATGTTCCTGATGCGACCAATGTATGATTATAAAACTACAATACAATATAATAGAAAACAATACAATACTCTTTATTGTTCACTAGGGAAAGTTTAACATAACAAAATATAGAAAATAATGAAGGAAAACAGAAGGCGGTCTTATTGATACATAACAATTTCTTTCAGTCAAGTCAATTTTTTCTTCCAGTCTACGTAAATAATTAAACAAATGGGGGGCATAGATTAACGCGTAGGGGTGCATTATAATAATAAAAGATACGTATACAATTAAATAAATATATAATCAACATAACATACACCACAAGCTGACATAGGCCCCCCCTAATGACGGTGCCCCGATATACTTAACATGTCACATATACAAGCGCAACTATCGCGATAGCCCACCGCACTACCTTGGTGATATTTGAGTCTTCCAAGAAACTCACAACCCCAATCGTCAAATCTAAATATATGTGTAATATATATATATATATATATATATATATATATATATGTGTGTGTGTGTGTATATATCCTACTCTCTTCAGGCTCTTACTCTAGAGAGGGTCTTAGGGCAAAGAGCCGAACCCGCCGAACCGATGCGCGTTGTTAGACTTTACATGCCCCTAAAAATATTTTATCATTTCTCAGACGTGTTGGTTTCTTTGAGATATTATCTTTCACCGACGACGAGCACGTGATAAATCAGCGCTCAAAACTTAACGTAACCGCTAATCCCCTGAACTAGCTTTAGATGCGATTCGTAGCCAATATTGGTGATGTTATCTATAAATTAAAATAACGTTTTCATTATTTTCAATATTTATCATATTAGTGAATGTACTGATTGTTTCCATATTAGTAATTCTTTGTTCCATTTAACATTTCGTGAGTTTTTAATATTTTTCTGAGAATATAGGCAGCAACCGGCCTTCTGTTACTGAGAGATTAAGCGTTAACTGCGATGCTCGAATGCGTGTTGGCGAACTTATCTCCGAAATCTTTTTTTTATTTCTCAGAGAGCCATAGTAGCTCAAGGATAAGCACTCGCCGTAAAAAGCTAGCAACCTGGATTCGATCCCCACCGGCACCAATGAAACTGTAATACTTGTGTTTATCACTCATGTCACTTTATTTCACAAACATAATGCATTATATGAAGAGAAAAGTTATTAAATTATAAGCTTATTGTAACTAATATTGTAATATATTTCATAATACCAAGCATCTGGTATAGGGTTATCATGTTAAACGATTACCAATATTATAATTTAGTTTACAATGAGCGCAATATAATACTCGAATACTAATTATAATTACTTATTATCTAATAGATTAATATGATCGTGGGGTAACCAAGTACGCGTTTGTGTTTACCGGCTGAATATATAATATATATTCAGCTGGTAAATATTTCTACGGAAGATATTGGTCTAAAAGGAAGCACCCGTATTTACATAAATGATCACCTTAGTTATTCCAAAAAGATGCTGTTGAATAAAACTAAAACTACTGCAAAAGAAAAAAAATACAAATACGTATGGGTCAAGCACGGGAAGATATTTGTGAGGAAAATCGATACATCGCAAGTCTACAATATAAAATCGGAATCTGACCTAGTCAAGCTGCGTTAACTTACAAACAAATACTCTTTTGTTGTTTATTACTTTTAAGTTTCTGGTGTCATTTAAACATTTACATATATTTTTCAACAACAGTCAAACATAGTTTGAGAACCGGTGTTTCCTTCCGCCTTATCACAGTCTTTTCTTTTGTCTGCAGTTACGCCTAATACCCACCTGTTTAAATTGTTGTGTGCATGCAATTTGTATTCCTATTATCCTTATACCAGGGATCACTTCTCACACTGCAACTGTAAGTAAACACGATCGGTTCCATATTAATTTATTTTCTAAGAACCACTTACGCTATTACCATTTATTGCTTTTGGTTATATTTTCTTATATATCGGGTCGCCTTTTCCTTCTCAGCGCGGTAAACAATACTTATAACGATGTCACTTGTTTACTACCGTCTTATTATATAGTA